ACAACGTCTAACTCTACCATTAAATGTGACTCAACGTGATAACCACATCAAAGAATGGCAGAACCACATCAATTGCTGGAACGAACACATCATGTAGTGTAAAATCGTCAAATTTTTAAACATCATAACGTAATGTTAAAGCCATATAAAGAAATGGCAAATCACCATTACGAAATAACAAAACCGCATCATGTAATGAAACAACTACATTACGTTAAGCCACATACACATCAAGTAATGTTAAAACCTCATTGCCTAATGACACAACCACATTAAATATTGGTGAAACCACATCGACTCTTTGATGAGTCGGTAGGTGGCATGTTAAAAGAAAAACTTTCTGTCCCTGTCCAATGTACCGTACAATCTGTTCGAGTGGCAGTCTTAATTTCATTCCGTTTCGACCTTTATAGCAGATGTACATGTACATGTACTCTTGGGATTTATTGTTGTTTGATCTTGTATTATATTATATATTAAGTAATTGATCTGTTGAACTCCTGTTAAATAATTGCCTGCGTCCACTTTAAATGAACTTCGTTAGATAGTTGTCTCACTGGCAATCACACCACACATCCTTATTTTATATTATGTAAGATAGGAGCGGAAATTATGCCATGCCACAAGGTTCCCACGGACTTAGTGGAAGAAGATCAATGTTCTTTGTCGTTCAGATACCTCGGAATTCTCCTTTCACGAGGCTTCTTGTTATAAGTCCCCATTCCGATCAGACGTGGCTGCGTATCTATTATATATCCCGCACAAAAATTGAAAATAATACTGTGTACATCGTGTCAGTACTAAAATCACTGATAAAGAGAGACGAAAGATATCAAAGGGATATTCAAACCCATAAGTCGAAAATAAACTGACAACGCAATGGCAAAAAAGAAACTGACAAACAACAGTATACATGACAAACAACAGTATACAAAACACAACATAGAAAACAAAAGTCTGAGCAACACGAACCCAACCAAAAAGCAGGGGTGATCTCTGGTGCTCCGGAAGGGTAAGCAGATCTTCATGTTGCTCATGCAAGTACAAACCCGTACTGACTGCTGAGCTGATTATTCCCTCGGGGACGGATAATAGTCCATAGCAGTGCTATTAAAAAGGATTTATTGCCGGGCGGATAAGTCGAGGGATGACAATATATCTATACACAAGGCAATACGCGAGGGCACTTAATATTGAAGATGATACATACAGAAAACCCGACAACGTTCATATTATGTTAAATATTACTCTTAAAATTGAGAATGGAAAGAGATAACAGCCCGACCAAAGAGCAGAAAACAGACCAAGGCCACAAATGGGTCTTCAACACAGCGAGAAAGTCCCGCACCCGGAGGCAGGCTTCAGCTGGCCCCTAGACAAAAATGTGTACTAGTTCAGTGAAAATGGACGTCACACTAAATTCCGAAACATATAAATGAACTAAAATTTTTAAAAAAACATGCAAGACTAACAAAGGCCAGAGGCTCCTGACTTGGGACAGGCACAAAAATGCGGCGGGGTTAAACATGTTTTGTGAGATCTCAACCCTGCCCTATACCTCTTGACTGTCACAGCGTTGGTGTCTGCATGTTCTTTTCACGATAAATTGAGCATTTTGTGTGTATCATAATTGTAAAATGCTATATTTTATTATAATGCAATCATGCCTTGAAAAATTCATAATAAGTTGAATGACTTATGTCCAAAAATCTAGGTTCCTCACAATGGCAGGATTTTCCGATTTTATTTACAATATATATATATATATATATATATATGCATTTCAAAGTATCGTAATCTTCATGACACGTAATGCTTTCATGTGATTCAGTCATCTCAATGTAGCATTGGAACGTATAATTCCATTACTACAATTATTGTAGCTTGCATGTAATGATATCGTTGTTTATAACGTTTTCGAAATCAATTCGAGACTAAAGTTAATTTATCCAAAGCCAAAAAAAAAAGAACCTTTTATTTTCAAGATTATTTGTTACATACATGTACATTGAGTTAATATATATCATCCGGATTTTGGTTTCCATTGATATTTCACATTATTACAAGTTACAGAAGTTTTATCTTTATAAATTAAAGCACAGTTTACAGAGAACTTTCAGTCCGGCTATTGAACATTTGCTAAATTTTGGCGTTTCTGCGGGATGTTTAAATACTCAGCTACGTATGGGTGCGTGGAATCTGATGTCTTGTGTTGGGTGAATGCCATGCTCTCTGTATGGTAAAGAGGCCTTGCAACTCTTTTAGGGGTCCTTTTATAATTTGACCTATTGCAAGGCGCACTCTCTATATCCAACTTACGCCCACTTTTCACGTGCCAGTCAAGATTTTCTGCCCTTTTCCCGTTCGACCTATCTTGCAAAACCTACTTATTTATAGTACGTAATGTAACTTTGGTATCATTCTGATTAGGCTTAAAATTTTACCACTGCACGTTAAGGATGGATAAATCAATCAATCAGCTTTACAGAGAACCTTTTTACTTTGCAGAGTGATTGTACACATGATTTTTTTTTAAAACAGAACAGATAATCATAGGTCAAATCGTCAGAACAACGAGGAAAAAAATAAGAAATAGCTAAAATTAGCCCCAAAAAATAAAGAATAGAACATAATGAAGTGCTAAAATATAAAGAATAGAAAAGAACTACATAAAAAATCAAAGATTATGATCGACAATGATGGAGCCCAATCCTCTTCAAGGCCCTCCTAAGTTTATCGGTACGGATGTTTCAATGTATACGACCTGTGTGGTCAAACATTATAATATTGTTTACCTACAATATATCATTACAAGCTTATCTGCTTAGGCATGGTGCGTTAGAAATCAAATGCAAATACTAGTCCTGCGTTTGGTTCATAGCTGGACCTGAACAATACTATTCCTCGTTTTCTGGTTAAACAATTGTCTACAGTACTATGGAACTGGCATGACAATTCCGATATGTTTTATTGAAATTTTTACTGTTATAAAATTTTGGAAATCATTTTAAGTTACGGCATGTTTCTCCCTATCAATCTCCGGCGCAGAGATCGTGTCCGTTCGGTTCAATACTACGTAACACTACACTCAATTAGGTCATATTAAGTGTAGTATTGCGGAGCATGTACGGAACGGATATGAACTCTGCGCCGGAGATTGTCTCCCTAAAGCAAAACTATGATTTCTTGTCCGGATTTGGCTTTACTTTGGGTTTTTTTTGTTTTTATCATCTCTTCAACGTTTGTATAAGGTTTGGATTTTCATAGATATAAGAAGATGTGGTATGAGTGCCAATGAGACAACTCTCCATCCAAGTCAAAATTTATAAAAGTAAACCATTATAGGTCACAGTACGGTCTTCAACACGGAGCCTTGGCTCACACCGAACAGTAAGCTATAAAGGGCCCTAAAAAATTACGAGTGTAAAACCATTCAAACGGGAAAACCAACGGTCTAATCTATATAAAAAACGAGAAACGAGAAACACTTATGAACCACATCAACAAACGACAACTACTGAACATCAGATTCCTGACTTAGGACAGGTGCAAACAAATGCAGCGGGTTTAAACGTTTTAATGGTACCAAACCTTCACCCTTTTTCTGAAACAATAGTGCAACATCACAACACAGAAAGACACACTATAAAATATCAACTGAAATAGCTTAACTCAATCAAAGGACATATTAACACCATTGAACATACACTGAACTAATAAATTTGACCTATGACACAATGTAAATACAAAATAAATAAACTAAGGGAAGAATAATAAAAGTAACATGTTATATCGGTAAGAAATGTTAAACAATTAAAGAAAAACAATATGCTCGAACAAAAATATCAGCCATTTGCAAAAACTTTAAACACAGGTAAATGAAAATAATTTTGTTGTTAGGTATACGTGTACAGTACATGCATATTTGTCCTCAAGCATTAGTGAGGGAGCTACCATTTGATTTTTATAGGGGGGGAGGTGGGGGGCTAGGATGAAAAATTTTGTCCTGCCTTTTTTTTAGCTGTAATCTCTGTCCTCCTGCCTTTTTATTTTCACTCTATTTGGTCTTGCCTTTTTTTTAGTTTAGACTTTTTTTCACCTAAATTGTCGTCCTGACTTTTTTTTTTGCAAGTGTCTCATCCTGCCTTTTTTTTTTTACTCAAAACTCCTGTCCTGTCTATTTTTTTCAAATTTCATCCTAGCCCCTCATAAAAATCAAATGGTAGCTCCCTAAATAAACATTTATTTTCGAAATACGCATCTGGTACAGTACAATAGGTACCGTAAAATGTTATAACAATCTCCAAATACCAGTTTGTGTGTTATGGAAATGTGCCACAGTCGAAATATTAACACTTACAATCTCCAAGAGGTCCATGAACTCTTACACTGGGTTTGTATCTTTTATATGAGCAACACAACGGATGTCACATGTGGAGCAGGATGCTTACCTCTCCGGAGCACCTGAAATCACCCCGGTTTTTAGTGGGGCTCGTGTTGCTCAGTCTTTAAGTTTCCTATGTTGTGTACTGTATATTGTTGTTTTTCTTTTGGTCTTTTTTCGTTATTTTTTTTCCATTGCGTTGTCAGTTTGTATTTGACTTATGAGTTTGAATATCACTTTGGTATCTGTTGTCTATCTTTGGTATCTGTTGCCTCTCTTTTACATAGCTATATGTGTATTGAATGTCACTTTGGTATCTGTTGCCTCTCTTTTACATAGCTATATGTGTATTGAATGTCACTTTGGTATCTGTTGCCTCTCTTTTACATAGCTATATGTGTATTGAATGTCACTTTGGTATCTGTTGCCTCTCTTTTACATAGCTATATGTGTATTGAATGTCACTTTGATATCTGTTGCCTCTCTTTTACATAGCTATATGTGTATTGAATGTCACTTTGGTATCTGTTGCCTCTCTTTTACATAGCTATATGTGTATTGAATGTCACTTTGGTATCTGTTGTCTCTCTTTTACATAGCTATATGTGTATTATAGAAGAGACCAAAACTTCTGGAGAATTATAAGAACCCATGCTGGATTGAAGATGGACGACTTCGTTGTCTACCGTACTTCCACATTTTTGGTGTATGTAAATCAGGAACGACAGATTTATTCCGTCGGTTGGTGATACATCACCAGATTATACCAAACAAAGGAATTACGAAAAAGGAAACATGGTTCTGGTCATGGAAACGGTATGGTGAACGTAAGTTGTCACATAAACGAAATGTTACGTTAGGCTTTTGCATGATAAATGATCAATGGCAAATATTTCATGCATATTTAGGAAGGGAACACTTGAATTGATGCGGTCTTTAAATAAACAAGACTGGATGAATTAAGAATTTCAACGCACCACAATGTGCTCAAACGGAAATACAATTTGTCTTACTAAAAACTAGCAAGATTGAGGTCACCACAAACCGACTATAACAACTGAACTTGACGAAAACAGTTTACTTACTAATACTTTCAACACTAGAAACAATTAAACGTAATTCATCAGTTGGCAGTGTGGATTTGGAAGAGGAATAGGATAGTCTAAATCATATACCGGCGATTTCGCAGGTGTCTTCCAGTGTTATTGATATGTATAAGAGATTGAAATATAAACTGGGTTCCCACTATAATGCGAAAATTGGAAATTATTAAACGTTACTGAACTTTGTTTTCAGATTGGGACGGTCAAATTGCAACACTGAAGAATTTTACCGACACATTCGATGTTTTACCACAACGACTTACATATAGTTATGACTTAGATATGTACTATTCACATTTTGTGGCAGGTAAAATAATAATTATTCCACTATTTCAAATTGTGGTTGATATTGACGTTTGACTTAAATGGTTCATCGACTTGCTTTATTAAAAAAAAATCTCTACATTGGCCATTCAGGGAAAGTTTTCGATTGATCTCGATAATAATAATGAAAACGGAGTATATCATTGACAAATAGAATCTTGTTATGGCGTGCATCGTGTCCGGAAATGAAGTATTTTTCAATAACTTCAGAAAATCACTGAACAGAGTAACACTGTGTGGGATCCACCACGTCATTCTTTTTTCCAATGATTTTTTCTACGCTGTATGTTTAAAGGAGCTTGAAATTCGGTTTTGCTTCTTGCATACATATATGTGAAGGGACGTGTCGTATTTGTTTTCATAAGATTGTGCAAAAAAAAAAGGACAACAAAAATGTAAGAAAATTTATTGAATAAAAGTCGAACCATAAAAATATTTTCCATTAATACAACTAATTGACTAATTTAAAACACAATTATAGAAATAGTAGTTGTAACGATTTTTCTTGTTTTCATTAAAGGTCATGGCGATATCAGCCATTTGCAAAAACTTTAAACACAGGTAAATGAAAATAATTTTGTTGTTAGGTATACGTGTACAGTACATGCATATTTGTCCTCAAGCATTAGTGAGGGAGCTACCATTTGATTTTTATAGGGGGGGAGGTGGGGGGCTAGGATGAAAAATTTTGTCCTGCCTTTTTTTTAGCTGTAATCTCTGTCCTCCTGCCTTTTTATTTTCACTCTATTTGGTCTTGCCTTTTTTTTAGTTTAGACTTTTTTCACCTAAATTGTCGTCCTGACTTTTTTTTTTGCAAGTGTCTCATCCTGCCTTTTTTTTTTTACTCAAAACTCCTGTCCTGTCTATTTTTTTCAAATTTCATCCTAGCCCCTCATAAAAATCAAATGGTAGCTCCCTAAATAAACATTTATTTTCGAAATACGCATCTGGTACAGTACAATAGGTACCGTAAAATGTTATAACAATCTCCAAATACCAGTTTGTGTGTTATGGAAATGTGCCACAGTCGAAATATTAACACTTACAATCTCCAAGAGGTCCATGAACTCTTACACTGGGTTTGTATCTTTTATATGAGCAACACAACGGATGTCACATGTGGAGCAGGATGCTTACCTCTCCGGAGCACCTGAAATCACCCCGGTTTTTAGTGGGGCTCGTGTTGCTCAGTCTTTAAGTTTCCTATGTTGTGTACTGTATATTGTTGTTTTTCTTTTGGTCTTTTTTCGTTATTTTTTTTCCATTGCGTTGTCAGTTTGTATTTGACTTATGAGTTTGAATATCACTTTGGTATCTGTTGTCTCTCTTTGGTATCTGTTGCCTCTCTTTTACATAGCTATATGTGTATTGAATGTCACTTTGGTATCTGTTGCCTCTCTTTTACATAGCTATATGTTTTACCACAACGACTTACATATAGTTATGACTTAGATATGTACTATTCACATTTTGTGGCAGGTAAAATAATAATTATTCCACTATTTCAAATTGTGGTTGATATTGACGTTTGACTTAAATGGTTCATCGACTTGCTTTATTAAAAAAAAATCTCTACATTGGCCATTCAGGGAAAGTTTTCGATTGATCTCGATAATAATAATGAAAACGGAGTATATCATTGACAAATAGAATCTTGGCGTGCATCGTGTCCGGAAATGAAGTATTTTTCAATAACTTCAGAAAATCACTGAACAGAGTAACACTGTGTGGGATCCACCACGTCATTCTTTTTTCCAATGATTTTTTCTACGCTGTATGTTTAAAGGAGCTTGAAATTCGGTTTTGCTTCTTGCATACATATATGTGAAGGGACGTGTCGTATTTGTTTTCATAAGATTGTGCAAAAAAAAAAGGACAACAAAAATGTAAGAAAATTTATTGAATAAAAGTCGAACCATAAAAATATTTTCCATTAATACAACTAATTGACTAATTTAAAACACAATTATAGAAATAGTAGTTGTAACGATTTTTCTTGTTTTCATTAAAGGTCATGGCGATCCAATGGACATCTGGTACCCTTTTGATTGGAAATTGATACCCCAGAATGATCCTACATCAGAAGAACCAGTATATATCACACCAAATCTGATATACCATTTAAATCCGAATATAAAGTTAATTCTTGTTATACGAGACCCAGTTGAAAGGTTATTCTTTATCAAACTGTTTTTCGTGATAAATCGGAGGAGAGAGCAAAAAACGATAAGAGCTCGAGGTGGATTTGTTCCTCGTAATCATCTGAAAGCTCTCAATATATTTATGTTTGCCATATATTTTACTGCCGGAAATTTCTGTTTGTTTTATGAATTATAAACCATGGTATATCATCAGTTGGTTTTCATAACAGCTGTTGTACATGTTTCGTTTACAGCCGAGGATACCAGCTCATCTTGAGTGCTGAGGGTCGTGGGTGCGATCCTTGGTTATGTTGTCCGGGTCAAACCAAAGTCATGAAATGAAATTATTCTGCTTCTCAAAGGCATTTAAAGGTAAAAGCAAAGGCTGGTCGGCACAGAGTAAGAATTAGTATGTGTTCGAGTAGGGGTGACAACACCGAAAACAACACATTATAATTGTAATGCGTCTGAAGGCTTCAAGCGCTTTTCTGGAATTACCTTTATTAGGAACGCTCAAAGCCGAGCAAGTCTTCCCTGTGAACTTCATGCTACCTTGTCAACTACATGTATCACGTTATGTAAACGTAGATTTTAAAAATCACTTATGTATTTATTTGTACAAATATATATAATAAAGAGAATAATTATAATTTATTTTAGACTCTACAGTCATTACATACATAAGAAGTTGGGCAACAAAATCCATCCCAGTGCCAAAGAATTTCATGAAGATGTTCAACATGCTGTTTCTACTTTTTCTAAATGTATCAAAAACAAAACTTTTCGGGCATGTTTATATGATACAGTTCTATATAAAGAATTGCGGGTACGTTTGATTTTGTTAAAAGATTATATCAAAAGATATTTCATTGCTGCCATGGAAACATCACTATTTTTTTTTCATGCAGTGTGAACAATTGATAATAATTTAATTCATTTATTTTCATCTAACCCGAATAATCCAGTCGTTATATTCCGATCACTACGATCACTCCATTAACCTTTGAAAAAGGAGAGAATTGGAGACGGAAAGGGCTTGAATTATTCGAATTAATCTTCATCAGGATTACATCATTTTGATTGCCAGACAACAATCACATGGTGTTTTAAGTGAAATTTTGATGGTTCCACTAAAACTCAGAATCCATGAACATGATGAATGCACGTACTCTCCATGAAACGCTACGACAGTACGTACGAATAGCAAAACGAAACCAAACTATAGATTGATTTAATTCGTAATTTTTCTGTGTTTGGCATTAAAATTGAATTAAAATTCAATTGAAAAAACAAAGGGTATAATTTATAACAAAACAATTTACGAAAAAACAAATATGACAGACATGAACCAACGACAATCATTGAACTACAGATACCTGACTTGGGACAGGCACATCGAGTGAATCTGTTTCTTGCAAGTGTATTTCCATATTTATATATCTCTTTCAGTAATTTTCTATGCGAAAATGTCTAAACATATGCATTTATTACTGACAAAAATACTAAATATATGTATTCATTAATCTAACGACTAAAATGAGTAAAATATAGTTACACATGAAAACTTGCTATCAAACGAAATCAAAATTAAAAAAAAATCAAATTCGGATTACAAGTTCCGTATTTACCTTTCAGGTACCAATATCCTCAGGGTTTTACAGTACTTTTCTGCGAGATTGGTTGAAGGTCTTTGACAAAGATCAGATTATGCTTATACGTACGGAAGACTACCGCCGCAATATAGCGGGAACTCTGACTAAAGTGTTCAAATTCTTAAATCTAGGTATGTACAATAATCTCTTTCTTAAAATAAATATTTTATCTAACACGATTCATATTGTTTTTTTGTATAGTTTTAACCAAAATTAAGGATTGCGACTTGTACTTTTAATTGTATCTTATGATGAATCAACTTAGAAATGGAGGGTTCATCGATATCTACCTAATGAAATTAAAATAATTTGGTAATTTCATTTTGTGATCAGATTTGGTAATCCATGGCATAATATAACCTTTTTTGTATCAATACATATGCTTTAGTTTATTATAAAAAAATCCAGGAAAAATTAACATCGTCAAATTATGGGACATTCAATGGGTACTAAATATGTACCCCTTATTGAAGTATATTTAATATTTAATTGACGAATATTTCTGAAAGTACACAAGCTGTTAAACTTGTTTTTTTTTAGTGCTATGGAATATAAAACATAGTAATGATTGTCAATGTTTCATGCCATGAAACTTGAAAAACTGTAAAAGTAATATACACTAGACTGTGTACTAATTCAGTCATGTTACAGAAATATCATAATATAGGGCTGTTGCATGAATATATGTGTATAAATATTGTCTTGAGTAGATTTTTCAATTGTACGAGCTTGCGAGTGCGACACATATTCTACAAAGGATACTTACATTAACCATTGTTCCTACAGTAACCTTTTTATTGTACAACAAAGCCTGAAAAACTTGTTTTCACTGATGTCACAAATTTGAATCTATATTTCCACTAGTGCAATATATTTTATTGCACACTTATTTATAGTTATGTCCTGTATGATTTAATATATAGAGGTTAATACATGGACTTGTCCATATCAGCCCTCGACGAACGTCTCGAGCTGAAATGGGGCCTCGGGATGATACCCGGGCCGATATGGAAAAGGCCATGTATTGGTCTCTGTTTAATACAATAATGTATATTTTTTGGGGAAAATAAATAAATTGACGGCATTGGTTTTTTTTACAGACGTAGTAGGACCATCTGTGCTGGAGAAGATGGCATGTAGAGAGATGGAGTATAAAACAAATTACAGAACGACAATGATGAACGAATCGAGAAGCCTTTTAGAAACATTTTATTCCGACAGCCAGCGCGACATGGAAAGTTTACTAGACGAATATGGAATAGACATATTAGTTAAGTCACAAGATGACATGGCCCGTCAAATAAACTGTTCAAGATTTTTTTCCAAAATGCCTTTGATGTCGAAACTTAAAGGAAAACAAATCAAACGCTATTTTGTCAGTAAGAAAAATGCCACTAAATATTACCGGAATAAATATTCACCTCGTTGATTTAATTTTCGATTCTAGATTTTATTTTGAAACAAAATTTGCATTTATTATATCGAAGCTATCATTTATATGGAAACATTTGGTCAGGATGCATATGTATCACAGCATGCACTCGAACACTCTCTGAAGTCTCGTGGCAAGGTGGTACTCCCGAGTGTGCGTGGTCGTGGGTTCGAGTTTGATCGAACCGAAGACGTGGTCTGTTTATTTATCACTGCTTTTCCGCTAAAAACGCGGACATTGGCAATAAGAGGAAAAACTTGTCGGCTCAGTCTGACAGAGACTCAGTGGCGGATACAGAACTTTTCATAAGGGGGGCCCACTGACTGCCTAAGAGGGAGCCCGCTCCAGACATGCTTCAGTGATTTCCTAAATAATCGACCATATTTTTCCTACAAAGGGGGGGGGGGGGCCTTCGAAAACCCTTTAAATCCGCCTCTGAGAGTCAGAATAATGTGTCCATATAGAGCAACGAAGAGTGTCATTCTTCCTGTTGACTTTTAGCTTGTTGAATAGCACGCTAAGTATCCAATCTAGTGTGACAGTGGTTTATAAACAGTGTAAACCAACTTAATTTCGCAAGTAACTTAATTTCACGACACTCGCGGGTATCTAAATAACGCAAATAAAACAAACTATGGCCTTTTCTTAATCAAATACATCAATACGAATAAAAAATCGCGAAAGAAATCGTCGCGAATTTAGGTCTGAAGGGCTTAACACGAAATGAAGTATTTTGCGAAAATTAGTCGGTTCACAGTATATCGCATTAACATGCTCATGTCTTGTTATTCATTTAATAATTGCAACTGTACATTAAACAACAATCCATATAAAATATACGAAAAGCCTGCTACATCTCTTTTCGTTGATTAAACGGTTATTCATACCACTCGTATGTTTTATGTTGTAATGAAGTTAAAGTATAACGTATTAAATTTTAAGAATGCCGTTACCACAAAGCAAAATGAAGATAAAAAAGAATTACTTATCCATATAACATTTAAACATATAATATTTGATGTAATCGATAGTGAATAATAATTTTGCAGGGCCTTGGTGGCCGAGTGGTTCTAAGTAATCCATCTACTGTATCACTAGCCTGTCAACACTGATGTTGTGATTTTAAGCAACGCGCGTGGCAGGTTCGTTCGACTCCAATCTGAATTGACTAGGATTGTCAGTTTTCCTGCCGAAGGTCAGTGTTCTTTGGTGGGGTTTGGGGGGGTTAATGAATCGATAGAAAAAGTTTTATTGTAACATCCTTAATGTTTAATACGATGAACTTCATTCCAATACTGGGAAATTACATTTATATTTTTTGAGAATTTTTCCAAATTCGCATGCATATTTAACATTAAACTTAACCAGATGCTTATTTAGTGGTGTGCCTCCTCAAAGAGGCGAAAAAATAATGACGTGATACTTATTCAATAGACTATTTTCATATTACCGACTTTTGACTCCGGATTATATAATTTTTCGACAGGTTACATACTATGTGGTAGGACATTCTGGTACTTGGTCAATTAAGAGCAACCAAAAAAAAGTAAAATCCAACACATAATCGGTGCAACTTGGATGGAAAGTTTACTGTTTTCTCATGATTTTGTCATGAATAGATAACATTAAACAGTTAATCCCCCCCCAAATTGTACCGATTGTAAGCTTGATTTTTACTTTTTTTAAGTGGCCCTTACTTGACCGAATACCAGGATGTCCAACCACTGTAATGTGATAACATTCTATTAAATCACGGACCTGTGATGTTGCGATTATGTTCTAGTTGCTACCAAAGCATACATTGTTGTAACTTTTAAAACAACAATAATATCACAAGTGTTTTACACATTATCATGATTATAGCACACGAAGTATTTATTAAGTATGATTAAAGGGGCATTAGCTACGAGATATAAAAAAAATATCTTTTTTTTTTGTTCAATCATTAATGAAAGTGAAATAGTGAAATAATAATTCCCTTTTAACAGCCAGTTTGGTTCCGTTTTGTCAACATAAGCAAAGAAACATCGCTTATGAATCATGCACTTGCAAGTGAATAATTCGACCTCATTTAATCCGTATTCATGTATAGCATATAAGAGTGGATAAGAGCAACAATTGTGAATAGTTTTAACTGTCCATGATTATTTATTTATATTTGATTGTTATATTTCAGAAATATCAACATCGTCATACTTATTAAATTGTGGTTAGTTGTAATCTCCTATTAAGCAAGATTAGAATAATACAAAATACATTTTTTTACAGTTTTAATGCACAAGATTAGATAACGTCTATAATAAACAAGGATTTAGTTAAATGATTGATTGGTGTTTAACGCCACTTTCAGCAGTATTGTACTATTTCGTGGCGGTCAGTTTTATTGGTGGAGGAAGCCGGAGTGCACAGAGAGAACCACCAACCTTCGGTAGGAAAAAGGATTTGGTTATAAACATGTACCTGTAAAATGAGCATCAGAGTACTTAGAACATAGCCGCTGCGGTAGTTACATGTATCGTTCCAGTAATTAACAAACAGTAGGATCTCTTTGACCTTGAGCACCTGTTTAAAAATTCGTCAATATAAAACTTCCATGATAGGAAAAACCAATAAAAATATTTCGTATTATTGAAATCTGAATACCGTAAGATTCCCACGAACTTATTAGTTTCGCTTGTTATAAATTACACACAGTGACATCCGTACAGCAAGATGTAAGACTTTGAATCGCAATTTTTGTTGTTGCTTAACGTAAATTGGAGAATTACCTTGTCAAACTTAATAATTAAAAATTGGTATCACCTCCTTTCTTCTATATACTGTATACGGAGGCCGTACAAGTCAGTCAATTACAGAAAAAAACTATCACGAAACAGTCATATATATATATATATATATATTATATATGCTATCATATGCGGCACATGTAAGCTTGACTAATTATAGGTGGAAATACTATGGTTAACATGGTACATGTATCTCCATTTAGAAAATGATATATAGTAGATATAAGAAGATGTGGTATGAGTGCCAATGAGACAACTCTCCATCCAAGTCACAATTTGTAAAAGTAAACCATTATAGGTCAAAGTATGGCCTTCAACACGGAGCCTTGGCTCACACCGAACAGCACGCTATAAAGGCCCCCAAAAATGACTAGTGTAAAACCATTCAAACACGAAAACCAACGGTCTAAACTATACAAAAAAAACGAGAAACGAGAACTTTTATTCTTTTCGAGATATAAAAAATTAAAGATTGAAAATATTATTAAATCATTCATTTCTTAAAATCCTGTCTTACAAATTCTATTTTAAATTGATGTTCACGTTTGCACATCCATGCTTAGATACACATTAATTAAGACATACATATACGTGTAAAACTTGCCTGTGAACGCAATACGTGACACGCATGCAAATTATGCATTGACTTAATTTGCATGGTCGAACCCCTTAATGCAAAACTGTAATTGCACATATTTGCAAACTTACGCTTCGTGTTTTTGTACATATGAACGCAAAATAATATAAGAATACTACGTTGTTTTATACCCCAAGCTACAAAGTAGTGGTAAATAGTTCTTTATCTTTCCATCTGTCTATCCGTCCATCCATTCGTCCGTAAGTCACCTTGATTTCCGGATACTTAATCAAATACTTTAATATCGTAATTGCAACCTTCTTCGGATATATGATCACAAATGAAAGGAAGACGTCTGAATCTGGGGAAGTCATATTAACTAAAATAGATCGAAAGTAATATAGGAAGGAGCTCCGGACTGTTACTCTAGAACCTTACAGAGTGTTTGAAACCAAATTTTAAAATATATGAGGACAATTCCCTATCCATTTCGAGAGTACAATGGCTGGCTGCGGGAAAAGTCATAACAACTAAATATAGACTGAAATAAATGCAGAAAAATGCATTGTTTTCGAATAATAACCCCTAAAAATAAAAAATAAAAACATTGTGATATCAATTATGAATTAATGAAATTGTATTTTCTTCTTTTGTTAACTTTCCATATTTCACCGATTGTTCCTCCTCCAAACACTACTAGATCTTTTTCAGTTTCATCAATCCTACTGACGAAGTTGATGTCAGTTTTTTCTCTCTAGATTGTCTGTTGTTTTCAATTTCTTTTTCTTGATGAAAGTCAAAAACACAGTGGACATAAAAGTTAAATATCTGATTAAAATCATTTTTGTTGCATCTATCGGTCAATCGTTATTACCGGCAACACCTAAGCACGACTGATGATATTTTAAAATGAAGGATGCGTAACTGTTTCTTTCTGCTCGCAGTTGATCATAAACATCAGTAATCTTATAACCTATTAAAATCCTTTGACTATTATAAGTCCTGTTAAATTACCATGAAAATGTGAAAATAGAGGTCGAGTTTCTTTTTTTCAAAATTTACGGTGTGCAGTTCTTGTAATTTTTTTATAGAAACATTGAATTTCATAAAAATCAGCCATTATAAACGTTGTTTAACAATCACCATCAGCTATTAATTATCACACCCATGTTCTAGCTTTCTACCCGACAGTGCGTTAAATAATTCGCGGGATGTTATACGTAAATTGTCTCTATACAGAATGCATCGCAAGATGATTTGGCCATTGATTTTTGTTACTATTAATAGCAATCTCGCTCAAATCCCGTTTTCAATCACAGTTGGAAGTACGGGGACAAAGTGATCGCCTTACTATATAGTTGCACACTTCGTCTAGTAATGGACTTCTGATAATATAAATGGTAAGATGTATAAGGTAATATTGAATATGTACAGTGATATTAAATAATTGTAATTCGGAATGCTTTGCGTATGACACTGGTGTACGGCAAGGATAAAACTTATCACATTTGCTATTTTCTTTATTTTTAAACGACTTAGAAAATTTCGTAGTCAGTAAAATATATTGGACGACTTAAAACTATAGCAGAAGATCTGGAAAGAGAATTAGAAATGTATCTGAAGTTTTTTTTTTTTTTTTGTTATATCATACGCAGATGACACGGTGTTGTTGGCCGAAACAGCAAAGGACCTGCAGACGCAACTCAATGCCTTCCATGATTGTTGTAAGGCTTAGAAATTGAAAGTTATGCTGCGTTCACACGTAATTCGAATTCGATTCGCCTTAACTAATTCGAATTAGTTTAATTCGCATTCGAAACGTTTAACGTCCAAACGTAAATTCTAATTCGAATTACAATGCGCGTCAAATTCGCTTTACTGTCCTAACGACGTAACTTTTAATTCGTATTAACAAAAACGCATTTCTAATGCGAATTGGATAATGCGATTTAGCCAATTCGAATCAATTCGAATTAAAAAAGAAGAGTGTGTGAACGCGATTAGCGAATTCGATTCGCATTCGATTCGAATTCAATTCGAATTAAATGTACGTGTGAACGAGGCATAAAGGTTGACAAAATTAAAGCAATAGTGTTTGATTATTGACGTTTACCGAAAACCTCTCGCCTCAAAAGGTATTAACTACAATTTTTTTGAAAAAAAATTGGAACTAAAGGAATATTTTAATATTTTGGACTTTAAAGATGCTATTGTTCTCTGTAGATTTAGAACAACTAATAACAAATTGCCGATTGAAACAGGATGATGGCTAAACGTTTTAAGAGAAACCATTTTGCCAACCAATATAACAATCGACAAATTGGAGACAAATATCATCTATTCGAATGTACTTTTTTCGATCAAAAACGTAAAGAGTATTCAACTTTTTTAACAGTTAAATTCTATGAACTAATGTCGACTACACGAAAACCAGTACCGAAGAAGCCTTGTTCATTTATGAAAAATATGAATTCTTGTGTTAGTCCTCCTGCATGGCTAGTGACTTTTAAACCCTCTCTCTCTTGTTTTGTATATATTGTAAACAAAAATTGTTGTTGTTATATCTCTACTGGTTTTATGCATTGGCTTTATGAGAATAAAGATATACATCTTCAATATAACTAATAAGATAACATTCAAGTAGCTTGCAGGAAAATGTAGGCTCACCGTTGTAAACAGGTATAATGATTCCTCTACGCCATTCGTCTGGGATTATTTCTTACAATGTATGTTGGATAAATTGTCAGAGTATTGTAAACAGTGGAAACTAAAAATTTACATCAATAACACGAAATTTATAGTATTTTCAAGATATAGAACACCTCGAAACTTGATATTTAATATAGATTGAAATGAACTTGAGATAGTCAGTAGTAGCTATAAACATCTTGGGATTATATTTTCTAGAAATGGCTCATATTTTTCCACCGGAAAATATCTACGTCACCAGACGATTAAAGCAATGTATGCTGTTATAAAAAAATTCCAGTTAAATAATTTGCGTCGATCGAGTGCAAACTAGATATGTTTGATAAGGCTGTTGTTCCTATAATTACCTATGGGTGTAAAATATGGGGATTCGAAAATTTAGATATTCTTAAGAGAGTTCATTGCGTTTTTGCAAGCATATATTACGTCTCAAAATTTCAAACCCTAATTTTATGGTTTATGGGGAGCTGGGAAGATACCCTATTTCAGTTACCGTCAAGTCACGTATGATTAATTTCTGGTGTCGCTTAGAGCAAATTATAATGTTTCTTATATAATCTGTTATATGTTAATCTCAATAACTCTGGCTATGACAGTAAATGGTTATATTATATAAAGAAAATTTTTGATGACTGTGGATTGTCAAATGTATGGCAAAGTCAAAATTTATTTCAGAAACATGGGGTCGTATTCAGTGTTCAGCAAAGATTAAGAGACCAGAGGTGGTGTTCTCGAAGCTATCTTAGGATTAGGCGCGTGTCCTACGACCATCTTATGACATGTCTTTGTCCTAAGTCGTGTTCTCGAAGCTCTCTTAACTTAGGATATATCGCATTTTTCGTCCTAACTTTAGGACACCTAATTAGGTGTCTTAAAATCATCATATCTTCATCCTAACTTTAGGACACGTCTCAGACAATAATTTGTAAACAAATGCTGTGCTTACTGAATAAAATGCCCTTCTGACTCTCCAGTTGATCTAAAAGAATGTTTAATTCCGCCTCCGTATAGTATATACATGTAATTATAAAATTCGTAAACAATTTTATTAATTGGTTTCATCATTAATAAATGTTTTATCATAAAATTACTTTAACGATTTAAAATTTCGCGCTTAGGATATGTTTAGGACGTCCTAACA